GAGGGGGCACACAGACGGGCAACCAGAAGCACGTCACACATACTTATACACACACAGACCCACATACACACTCATATTTGAGGGGTCAGCAGACAATTTGGCCCCCTTGCCGTATATTGAAAAGTAGGGAGGGGACCCCCCTGCCATAAACTGAAAATAAAAATTGCAAGAACTTCAAAAAAAAAAACACAAAACACATCGGCATTCGGCTAAATTCCATGTCGGGCGGAGCCGGGCCGGGTGTTTAGTCGTTTGTGTTGGCATTGTCGGCCAAACTCAAACGTCAGTAACCCTAAGTTCATACATGTGTGTATGTGACTCTTTTAACATTGAGAATTTGTTGTTGTCAATAGCTTATTGATTTGCAGTATCCAACGAGGAACATATTTGTATGTTTTATCTTGAGAGTCGATTGAAACCGATAATGTACATTTTATCTTTATACTTTTGGTTCATATGTAAGCCTACGAAGTTAGTCATAGAGGTATAAGGGGCGAGCGAGAAATAAATGAGGAAAAGGGTGAGGTAATGTTTGAGGGCTTCATTTTGCTCCTTGCTTAAAAAATAAATATAAAAAATAGTGTCAGGGTTTGTTCCCATTTGGAGACGAATGTGATTTTGTACTTGTGTACCGTGTGATTTCATTGAAAATTACAATTTGTTCGCATTTCGTTCTTTTCATTCTATAATCCATGCAATCTCTATCTGTACTAGCAGAAGGTGCATGTGAACCTGCCTGGAGACGATCATTGGGCGTGTGTGAGCATGTAAGACTCACTGTTACCTATCAAACTTGAGTCACGAATATCAGGAGGTATCGACATTTTCGTGGACTTATCTTAACAAGGGAGGCGAATTAGCGAGGATGGCGGATAGGCGTCATGGGGACGAGCATCGCGATCTTGGCAGAGACATGACTTATAGAGGTCGAGACGGAAGGCGCAAAGACCCAAAACATCGACACCGAGGTAGAAGCCGTGATGACTACTATTGAAAGGATAGGAGTGAACGGGCGAGCGGGCCGAACGAGTATAGCCGACGTGGGCCGCCGACTTGTTTCGAATGTGGGGAACCAGGATATTACAGAAATCAGTGTTGGAAGAGAGGCGGCTCTAGTACATCGGGTGGACGAGGTTTCACCGCCCCCGTGGACGAGGCGACGAAGAAGCAAATCGAAACGTTGGGACAAACGGTCGCAACTTTCAGGGAATTTATCGAGCAGGAAAACAAAAAGAAAGAGGAGAAGGCAAGGAGGAAACAGGAGAGGGAAGAGAACGCGAGGAGGGAGGAGGAACAGATGAGGAGGGAGGAAAAAGAGAGGAGACGAGAAGAGGAAGACAGGAAAGCAAGGGAGGAACGAGCAGCACGTAAACGCGAAAAGAAGAAGCAAGAAGTTGAGGAGCGCTTGGAATTTACGAAGTCATTACGCATCCAGATGGCCATGTGCATAGGAGGAATGCGTGAGGAAATGCAAGAGGATCTCCATTGAAGAATAGCGGAATTGAAGACCGCGATTAAGGGCAAGCAACCAGTGGCCTCACCTACGGGATTGGAAACATCCTATTCGAGTGGGTGGGGAGGCAGCGAAATCGAGGAGATCAGCGCGAAGACGGGACGTCTCAAGCTGTCAGAGAAACGGAAGAGAAGCCCAGATCGAAGAATTGACAACAGTCCTCCGATGACTACTCCCACAAAGCGTACACCAAGGAAGATACCGATAAGGGTGCAAGATGACTAGTAAAGCTAGTTGCGAAGCTGCAAGTAACTACGACCAAGGGTGCAAAGGGTCATGGGAAGCAAGATGACGACCGGAAACAGACGACACCGATAAGGTACACACCCAAGAGAGGCACGCCAAAAGTGAAGATTCCAGCAAAGATCGGAACCACCTGGACGCGCAAAATACGTTGCTGACAACGTGCGCGAGTTAGCGGAATGCAACGCGAACGACCTGAAGCGACTGTGTAAGCGGGAGGAAGTCGAATACGACAATAAAGTTATAGCGGCGATCAACATTGCAGAAAAGTGAGCAGTCGAAGCTTATGGAGCACCAGAGGGATCCGAAGTTAAAGAAAAAACTGAAGTTACAGCCGCATCTGTATTGTACAAGAAACTGACGAGGAAGTGTCCAACGAAGAGGAACCAACAAGCTGACTACCTTCAGAAGGCCCGGTGCTATGGGCGTTGTGCAGTTGGATCATACACCAACGGAAGCAGCAAAAGAGATTTGTCAGCGATTTGGAGACTTTGTATCGTACTACGGTCATTCTACTTAGCTTAGAAGGATGAATCAATTGGTTGAGGAAGTATACCACGGCTTGGGGAAACTTGTTCAAGAGACACGACATCGACTTCGTCAAGAAGCACACAGGTGTATATGTCTTAGCTTCTCCGAGATGTAAAACCCAGTATATAGGGCAAACGGGAAGAGATGCTAACACCAGATGGAGGGAGCATCTCTCAGCATGCAAAGGGAAGGCGAAAAATACTCACCTGTACAGGTGGTGGCGCATCTTTTGATTTGAATCCTATGTGATGTTGCCCGTCGACGAAGGCGAGAAGCATGAGCTGGTCCACTTGGAACAAGTGTACATTAAGAAGTGGTCGCTCATTCTGAACACCAGTGGGAGGTTGAGGAAGTCCGGAAAAAAAGAATAACGTACGGAAAGGGAAGAACGAAAGAACAAAGGGGAGTAAGCAAGTCGAGTGCTACGATGGGGCGGCGGTCCAGATCGTACGCATTCGGACTAAGCAGTCGGACGGTTGGCGTGCGGGCATCCTTAACGAATTGAACAATCAGGAAAGGAAGGGCACTCGAAGCTTTTCGTTACAATGGACAGAAGGGAACTGTTGGGCCGACAGCTGGAAGAAGGTGAAGAGCGCTTTCGGCAGATCGGCAGTTGTGGTCTATGGAGTATCTACAACGCTCGCAAAATGCAAAAGCGCAATCGAGAAAGGCGAAGAATTATAAGTCAAACATCTACGTAAATGGGGCCCAAGGATTGGACCGAACAAGATACTGCTCACGAAGCTGCTGCGCAACCCGAGGAGGATGGAAGCGATTAGAGATCTGGAGGAAGAAGAAAGGTTCAGACTGTACAAGTTGGCTAAAGACTTTCAGAGGAAGTCAACAGGATCTTACCTGAGGAGGATCATATCACGCGTGATCAAGGAAAAGTATGGTTGGGAGATGGGAGCGGATTTAATCGTTCGCGTCAAGTTCGACGACCGAGTGAGCTTAGCAGAGGTAGGGAAGGTTGTTAACGACAAGATCGAGAGTCTCGACTTTCCGACGTGTATGGCTAAATGTGCGAGAAGTAAGATCAGGACAGTCTGGGTCAAGAACCCCACTGTCGTTGACCTTATACACAACCAACGCAACTATGCGAGGGTGGTTGTGTCAACCTGCACATGTGCAGGTCTCCCTTATCCGAGGACTGGGGAGCACATACGATTTCGCCTGCACGAATTGGCTGGCAAGCATCCTATGCTGTTGAACGCAGGGAACATTCCCAGAGCACAGCATCCGGACCGCCTAAAGCTACTATGTAGGGAGATTGAAGACTCTTTCAACACATGGAAGAATCGCAACGCGAACGAAGTGGTGGTATCACAGAAGGAAGTCAGGAGATGTATAGTGGGCAACGAGATCGTGAACAGCAAGTGTCTGGACATCATGGACGTGAAGGAGTTACGGGGCAGGTTAGAAGGTTTGGTTCGGATGCCGATGGACCGGAATCCCGGAGAGACACTGGTGATGTGTCCGTATTGTACTCTGAAGCCATGATGGAGGCATTTGTCACCAACCCTGGTTACGAAGTTATCACAAGCAAGGAAGTGAACGTGAAGCAGGACCTTCAGACAACATTCAAGGACAAAGGTATTACGAAGTTTGCCAAGGTCGATAATAAGGGATCATTCAGAGCAGCCTACGTGCAGCCGAAACACAAGGACATGGATCGTACAGACCAATCTGCCCATCTTACTCGGATCCGACTACGAAGACTGGAAAAAGTGTCGCGAAAGCATTGAACCACATGTTTTTCGGTCTACCGAGGACGTGACACTTTAACATCCGAACGGTTAGCGAAGTCGCAACCACGATCGAGAAGATCAATGGAGGTATCGATCGGAGGGTGAGTAGGGAGGTACACCTTGCAGTCATGTCCTACAATATTAAGGACATGTTCAGCAAGTTGCCGCACAACGACATCATGGCGTCTGTTGATTTGATTATAGACTACTATGTTGGGAAAGGGAGACATTCAATACGAGTGAACACAAGAGGAAGGGGATGCTCATTTGGCAAGACTACGGGAATGGACCACTGGCGGGAGTTAAGGTTGGAGGATATCCGAAGTTTCGTGGAGGTGGATCTGAAACACACATATGTCAGTGCTACGGGGGTACTGCTGAGACAGACCATCGGTATTCCGATGGGAAAAAGCACTAGTCCACCGTTAGCCTGTATCATGTGCGCATATTCAGAATATAAATTTTTGAACTCTTTGGGTAGGAGGAGGAACCAAGTGCACGGATTAAGGCTGATGGACGACGTCAGCATCATCATTGAAAGGAGGAAGAAGGGTGCGGGTGTGGACGATCTCATTCAAGCTTTTGAGAGCTGCTACCCCGCAAACCTGAAGCTGAAGCATACCGACGACGGATCAGGCAAGTGGGAGTTCCTGGGTTTGGAAATGAAGTCGCAGAACAGCTACCCGTACTTGGGTTGCATCCAAATGTCCAAGAACGAAAAAGTTGTATGGGAGCAGAGGGATCTCGAGTTCAAGAACGGACAAAGTTATCTGTCTTGGGGGGCGAAACAACAAAAGAGTGAGGTGATTGCGAGTCACCTACACAGGATCGATGCGAACACTTCGATCCGAACTGAGATCCCATAGAGACTGTTCACTCTCAGCCAATAACTGAAGATGAAGGATTTCCCAAACAAATTTGTCAACAAGACGTTGGAAAGATTCAGCAGAGGGAGAGGGAAGATTTGGGAAGTTACGCGGCAGTGGATTTACGGCGAGGAATGAGAAGTGTGGTCAGTTAGTTAACTTGTATAATTAGTTGTATATCAAGGTTGTTTGGTGTGGTTTGGTGTGGTGTGGTTTGGTGTGGTGTGGTGTGGTGTGGTGTGGTGTGGTGTGAGAGTTGTAGACTGTATAATAGCTGTCTCTTATACACATCTAGATGTGCTTGTATAATTAGTTGTATATCAAGGTTGTTTGGTGTGGTTTGGTGTGGTGTGGTCTTAACCCTGTCTCTTATACACATCTAGATGTGTATAAGAGACAGGGTGTGGTTTGTCACCCTTGATTACAACAATGTTAGCCTAATGGAGTTACGCAACAAAGGATTTGCGGCGAGGAATAAGAAGTATGGTCAGTTAGTTAACTTGTATAATTAGTTGTAGATCAAGGTCGTTTTGTGTGGTTTGGCGTGGTGTGGTTTGTCATCCTTTATTACAACAATGCTAGCCTGATGGAGTGATGATGATTTCACTGGCGTGTAGGACATGCAGTCAGGGATAGGGAATATTTGTGGGGCACTCCATACTGAACCTGAGAGAGCTATGGGATGTATGTAGGGACAGGGATGTCTCGTAGAGTTCTGTCGGTAAAAATTTCGGTATCAAGGATCGAACCGATGACCTGAACCGGTAGCATTTTTAGCAGAGGCTAAGGTATGGTTTCAAACAGTCAACCGGAACCGATAGTTCGATTTCGGGAGGCGACTTAGTATCAAGTCTCGAACAGGCGACCTGAACGGGCAGTTTGGCTTTCGGAGTAGGATTAGTGAGTGTGATTGGGTACCACAGGCTTAGAACAGGTGGCCTGATTGAGTTTTTTCATTTTTTGTGTTTTTTAATGTCTTTCAGGTACCGGGGCAACGCTACGACAGCATACGACACTAGGCTACGACGGGACGAGGATAAGTACAAGAACAGCGTAGTCAATGTTTTTTTTTGCGTCTGACGTTGACGAACTCCACCATCTCCGGAGATGGTCGGAGTAGACGTGGCGGAAGCGGGACTGTGGCAGGCAGGATATGCATACGGGTGAAGTTGGGTGGATTCCCCCTAAGGAGACCGCGTGGCGGCGGTCGAAACCGGTCGGGGTGCCTTACCCACCGGCGATGAACGTGATTTTGTACTTGTACACTACTCTATGTATACCGTGTGATTTTATTGAAAATTACAATTTGTTCGCATTTTGTTTTTTTCATTCTGGAATCCATGCAATCTCTATCTGTACCATCTGTACATATTTGGAGACATGAACGACAATGGAAACAAAAAAACATACCTTAAGGTTATATATGATTATGTAATATATAACTATGTAGAGAATGAACCTATTTTTTTTTTTATAGAGAATGAAAAATAAGTAAAAATCTAGGCTACCAGAGTGGTCTGGGGCCACTTGCTCGGCCAGGCAAAAAAAAAGTAAAGAAATAAAAAATTAAAAAATAGATATATTTTTTTTTACTTTATTTTTTATTTTAAATTTGGTAAAAAATCTCGATGTGACTCTGAGGCAAATGTTGTTCAATTTATTTTTTTTCATAACATAGTTTGTTTTTCGGATTGTTTTGATTTTTTTCTTTTTTTTTACTAGAAGCTTCCCTGGTCCTTACACGGTCGGGCGATGCGGGAAAAAAAGGTGACCCGGGCGGCCCGTATTGTAGCCTAGGTAAAGCAGTAATTCATGTTATTATTTTATTGAGGTTGCGGTGAAAAAGAGAAAAGAGAAAAAGAAAGGTTAATTGATAGATATAGGTTCATTTTGTAAAGAGAGGTGGTTATAAATAGGTGTGGGTTGATATTTTATGAGAAAGATAAAAAGGTTAATGCATGGTGTGGGTTGATATTTAATGAAGGAGATAATATAAAGTCAATCTATCATTTGATAAACAATATATTATCCTACCCCCTAGTCTTAACTGTTTCATTTCCTACTTTTTTTTCCCCCCTCTCTCTTCCCCTCATATCTACATATGTATATTTGGATAAGGAGTGCATGCGTGTATTAACACACGTTTGTAACTTTGTATATTACATGTGTTAGTATAAATGTTTATTTGTATGAGACTGTTTGTTTGTCTATATATATGTTTGTGACGATATATATATATATACAGGGTTACCGGTGTTTGGGACGGGCCGAACGCCCGAACGTACGGGACCCCTTCGGAAGGCGTTCGATCGTTCGGGCCGAACGCGGAAAAAAAAAAAAAAAAAAAAAACAAAAAAAAAAACGTTTTCAAAAACTTCCGTAAAAAAACAACGTTATGGAGACAAATAAGCTAAACAACATTTGTCTGGGCACTACATCCAAATTCTTTACCTAATTTGAATTAAAAATCAAATACAGAAAATAAACAATATGATAAAACTTCATAAAAATAAGAAAAAATAAAAAGAGAATTAAAATGAGTGAGTGTGCCAGCACCTTTTCGACACCGCCATCTTTGCCGATTTTTAATTATTTTTTG